TCCCTTGATCCTTCCATTGTAATTAAACTAAGGAAGGCTAGGTGAAGCACTCTTTTCCCTTTCTCCCCCGCCTCGACCACATGCCTTCCCCTTTTCGGATCAGATAGGCACTGAACTGTGCCCATGCCATTTAAGACTGAGTTCCGTGTCATTTCCACCACTGAGCTATCCGACGGTTGTGTCCGTACTCTTATAAACGGGAGATGCAAGGACTCGTCCTCCGACATCTGAGTAAGTACCTTAGGGCCTTGCTGTGAATTTACGCAAATTAGAGGGACCAGTAACTCAACTGGTTTCTTGTCCATTTTATCGCTTCGTGAAAGAGTGGACATCGGAGAGGCGAAGGACCTTTCCCACTGAAATTCTCCTTTGTGCATCTGTCTTTTATTCTTCGTTCCTTCAAAAGGGGCTGCCACGTTCGGAAAATCCTCCCGATACGACTTCCGAAAGACTGCCGTTATCGTTGAGTTTTCCTTTCTTAACCGGAGGGTTTTCCGGATTGGACGCCCCCGATGGCCTGATACAATTTTCACCTTCCAGGTTGTGAGATTCGAAAAGGAGAATAGAAGAATAAATAAGGGGCACACAGATCCGGCCCTCAGTGAGGGCATTGTGAGATTCGAAAAGGAGAATAGAAGAATAAAAAAGGGGCACACAGATACGGGCCCGAAAATGGCTGGATAGGGGTACTCCTAGTAAATCACGAACAAGATCGACGGGCAGCGGAGGCGGGCAGCAGCGGTGCGTTAGATGCAGCGCGAATTTTCGGAGGCCCTGCTGGGAACAGTAGGAGTTACTCGTGAAAGTGACGCCGCGTGACATCGCCTCTTCTCCAGCAAAGCAGCTTCTTCTTCGGTAATCCCGAGGCCGAACCATGCAGAGCTGGACTAAGCCTCGCTGCAAAAGCAGTGCTTGCTCCCCGTGGAATATCGGGGGCTAGACCAGGCCTGGCCTCCCAGGCAGAGCTGGAAGAATAGCGTGAACAGATACGGTCGGGAGTGGCAGAGAACAAAAACAAGTGTGAATGAAGAACTCCCTAGGATGGTTGGGGGGGGGAGGGATCTCGCTTCGGCCGGCGCTAAGGGCTCCGCCAAGCGGTACCGGGTCGGCAAGACCCGAGCTGTTGTCCAGGGTGCTACCGAAGTGATAGCACTCGGGAGTCTTCTCACCTTCCACCCTCCTCGAGGGGCGGAGATGGCGTCATACTAGCCATAGGTGAAATTAGACAGACAGAGAGAGTGTTCCCTCCCCCACACCTATGTTGTACCGTACATGCAAAGAAAGCTGTGGAAAATAACGTAGTAGAATTGAGGGCTAATTGGAGATGGTAGATACACTGACGGAGGCCACACCTCAAGGAGAGGGGACAGGGAGGTCTCCTCCCGTTGTTCCGCAGGCGGGGAGAGATTATTGGGAGGATGAAGATAGAATTCGAGACATGCTGCAAATGTGCTTTGACAAAGGGATTTACCCAACGGAGATTGACCCTGTGGAGATGATAATGGAGGAAAGGGAAGTGAGGTTTAAATTGAATGTATCATTGGATGAGATCAAAGTCAAATGGTTGAAGGAACGCACGGTGACTGTCATCTACAAAGATGCGGCAAGGTTTCTCCCGAAAAACATTAAGGATGATCTCGTGAGGGCGTTTGAAGATGGCTGGGTCATAGGCAACGAGAACCTAGGGGGGAATGTAAGAAGAGGGAGAGTGAAGATAGAGGGCCCAGGAGTAGCATCGTATGTAGCGAAGGCACGGGAGGTGGTGGAGTTCATGTTGGCAGAAGGTCAAGTGGACATCAAAATTGGAGCAGACACATACAAGATTTTGCTTAAGCCGTGGATGACGCGCGCGGAGTTCCGAGACCTGAGAAGACGAGGACGAGAGCGTGTTTTGGGTGATTGCCATTCAAGTTCCACTGGATGACATGCCGTTTATTTATGCACAAATCGAGAAGGCAATAGGGAAGATTATCTTCGTGCATCCAGCGGACACAGACCCAGCCCGACCTGAGCTGGTCAACGCAAAGTTTGACTTGGATCCAGAGGCAAGACCTAACATGAAGGACATCCTGTGGATCGAAACTTCGAAGGGAGATACACAAGAAGTGAGATTAGCGACCTCGGGAACACGTGACAAACCACCTTCTGTAACGCGCGAGTTTTTGCGCGGTTGCAATGAGGGGTCCTAAGCTGGGAAGATTGGGCCAATTACGGGAGATCGGGATCGGTGGAAAATTGCATCAGTACCCTTGCTTCTTCGTCTTTTTCGTCGCTTCTTCGGGGCTGGGTGTGTCTTGGGACGGGCGGTGGATTGATTGGTCGGATGGTTGTTTGGCGCGACGCCACGCGCGCGCGCGATTAATAAATGTCGACGTCGTTTCTTTCGGTTCGGTTTCGATCTTTTTGGGCGCGGACATCGCGCGGAAAATTGCTTCGTTCTTTTTTTGAAATTCCTCTTGGATCTTTTTCGAATTTTGTCGAGCCCCCCCCT